TACTGTCAGTATTATTGCTGTGGAGCTCTGTTATACACTCAGACACATTACTGGGAGTATTATTGCTGTGGAGCTCTGTTATACACTCAGACACATTACTGGGAGTATTATTGCTTTGGAGCTCCGTTATACACTCCGACACATTACTGGGAGTATTATTGCTGTGGAGCTCCGTTATACACTCAGACACATTACTGGGAGTATTATTGCTGTGGAGCTCTGTTATACACTCAGACACATTACTGGGAGTATTATTGCTGTGGAGCTCTGTTATACACTCAGACACATTACTGGGATTATTGCTGTGGGGCTCTGTTATACACTCAGACACATTACTGGGAGTATTATTGATGTGGAGCTCTGTTATTCACTCAGACACATTACTGGGAGTATTATTGATGTGGAGCTCTGTTATACACTCAGACACGTTACTGGGAGTATTATTGATGTGGAGCTCTGTTATACACTCAGACACATTACTGGGAGTATTATTGATGTGGAGCTCTGTTATTCACTCAGACACATTACTGGGAGTATTATTGATGTGGAGCTCTGTTATACACTCAAACACATTACTGGGAGTATTATTGATGTGGAGCTCTGTTATTCACTCAGGCACATTACTGGGAGTATTATTGCTGTGGAGCTCTGTTATACACTCAGACACATTACTGGGAGTATTATTACTGTGGAGCTCTGTTATTCACTCAGACACATTACTGGGAGTATTATTGCTGTGGAGCTCTGTTATACACTCAGACACATTACTGGGAGTATTATTACTGTGGAGCTCTGTTATAAACTCAGAGATGTTACTGGGAGTATTATTGCTGTGGAGCTCTGTTATACACTCAGACACATTACTGGGAGTATTACTGCTGTGGAGCTCTGTTATACACTCAGACACATTACTGGGAGTATTATTACTGTGGAGCTCTGTTATACACTCAGACACATTACTGGGAGTATTATTACTGTGGAGCTCTGTTATACACTCAGACACATTACTGGGAGTATTATTACTGTGGAGCTCTGTTACACTCAGACACATTACTGGGAGTATTATTGCTGTGGAGCTCTGTTATACACTCAGACACATTACTGGGAGTATTATTGCTGTGAGCTCTGTTATACACTCAGACACATTACTGGGAGTATTATTGCTGGGGAGCTCTGTTATACACTCAGACACATTACTGGGAGTATTATTGCTGTGGAGCTCTGTTATACACTCAGACACATTACTGGGAGTATTATTGCTGTGGAGCTCTGTTATACACTCAGACACATTACTGGGAGTAATATTGCTGTGGAGCTCTGTTATACACTCAGACACATTACTGGGAGTATTATTACTGTGGAGCTCTGTTATACACTCAGACACATCACTGGGAGTATTATTACTGTGGAGCTCTGTTATACACTCAGACATATTACTGGGAGTATTATTACTGTGGAGCTCTGTTATACACTCAGAGATGTTACTGGGAGTATTATTGCTGTGGAGCTCTGTTATACACTCAGACACATTACTGGGAGTATTATTGCCGGGGAGCTCTGTTATACACTCAGACACATCACTGGGAGTATTATTACTGTGAAGCTCTGTTATACACTCAGACACATTACTGGGAGTATTATTACTGTGGAGCTCTGTTATACACTCAGACACATTACTGGGAGTATTATTGCAGTGGAGCTCTGTGATGCACTCAGACACATCACTGGGAGTATTATTGCTGTGGAGCGCTGTTATACACTCAGACACATTACTGGGAGTATTATTGCTGTGGAGCTCTGTTATACACTCAGACACATTACTGGGAGTATTATTGCTGTGGAGCTCTGTTATACACTCAGACACATTACTGGGAGTATTATGGCTGTGGAGCTCTGTTATACACTCAGACACATTACTGGGAGTATTATTGCTGTGGAGCTCTGTTATACACTCAGACACATTACTGGGAGTGTTCTTGCTGTGGAGCTCTGTTATACACTCAGACACATTACTGGGAGTATTATTACTGTGGAGCTCTGTTATACAGTCAGACACATTACTGGGAGTATTATTGCTGTGGAGCTCTGTTATACACTCAGACACATTACTGGGAGTATTATTACTGTGGAGCTCTGTTATACACTCAGACATCACTGGGAGTATTATTGCTGTGGAGCTCTGTTATACACTCAGACACATTACTAGGAGTATTATTGCTGTGGAGCTCTGTTATACACTCAGACACATTACTGGGAGTGTTATTGCTGTGGAGCTCTGTTATACACTCAGACATTACTGGGAGAATTATTGCTGTGGAGCTCTGCTATACACTCAGACACATTACTGGGAGTATTATAGCTGTGGAGCTCTGTTATACACTCAGACACATTACTGGGAGTATTATTGCTGTGGAGCTCTGTTATAGACTCAGACACATTACTGGGAGTATTATTGCTGTGGAGCTCCGTTATACAATCAGACACATTACTGGGAGTATTATTGCTGTGGAGCTCTGTTATACACTCAGACACATTACTGGGAGTATTAATGCTGTGGAGCTCCGTTATACACTCAGACACATTACTGGGAGTATTATAGCTGTGGAGCTCTGTTATACACTCAGACACATTACTGGGAGTATTATTGCTGTGGAGCTCTGTTATACACTCAGACACATTACTGTGATTATTGCTGTGGAGCTCTGTTATACACTCACACACGTTACTGGGAGTATTATTGCTGTGGAGCTCTGTTATACACTCAGACACATTACTGGGAGTATTATTGCTGTGGAGCTCCGTTATACAATCAGACACATTACTGGGAGTATTATTGTTGTGGAGCTCCGTTATACAATCAGACACATTACTGGGAGTATTATTGCTGTGGAGCTCCGTTATACACTCAGACACATTACTTGGAGTATTAATGCTGTGGAGCTCTGTTATACACTCAGACACATTACTGGGAGTATTATTGCTGTGGAGCTCCGTTATACACTCAGACACATTACTGGGAGTATTATTGCTGTGGAGCTCCGTTATACACTCAGACACATTACTGGGAATATTATTGCTGTGGAGCTCTGTTATACACTCAGACACATTACTGGGAGTATTATTGCTCTGGAGCTCTGTTATACACTCAGACACATTACTGGGATTATTGCTGTGGGCCTCTGTTATACACTCAGACACATTACTGGGAGTATTATTGATGTGGAGCTCTGTGATTCACTCAGACACATTACTGGGAGTATTATTGCTGTGGAGCTCTGTTATACACTCAGACACATTATTGGGAGTATTATTGCTGTGGAGCTGTGTTATACACTCAGACACATTACTGGGAGTATTATTGCTGTGGAGCTCTGTTGTACACTCAGACACATTACTGGGAGTATTATTGCTCTGGAGCTCTGTTATACACTCAGACACATTACTGGGATTATTGCTGTGGGCCTCTGTTATACACTCAGACACATTACTGGGAGTATTATTGATGTGGAGCTCTGTGATTCACTCAGACACATTACTGGGAGTATTATTGCTGTGGAGCTCTGTTATACACTCAGACACATTATTGGGAGTATTATTGCTGTGGATCTCTGTTATACACTCAGACACATTACTGGGAGTATTATTACTGTGGAGCTCTGTTATTCACTCAGACACATTACTGGGAGTATAGTTGCTGTGGAGCTCTGTTATACACTCAGACACATTACTGGGAGTATTATTACTGTGGAGCTCTTTTATACACTCAGACACATTACTGGGAGTATTATTGCTGTGGAGCTCTGTTATACACTCAGACACATTACTGGGAGTTTATTGCTGTGGAGCTCTGTTATACACTCAGACACATTACTGGGAGTATTATTGCTGTGGAGCTCTGTTATACACTCAGACGCATTACTGGGAGTATTACTGCTGTGGAGCTCTGTTATACACTCAGACACATTACTGGGAGTATTATTGCTGTGGAGCTCTGTTATACACTCAGACACATTACTGGGATTATTGCTGTGGAGCTCTGTTATACACTCACACACATTACTGGGAGTATTATTACTGTGGAGCTCTGTTATACACTCACACACATTACTAGGAGTATTATTGCTGTGGAGCTCTGTTATACACTCAGACACATTACTGGGAGTATTATTGCTGTGGAGCTCCGTTATACAATCAGACACATTACTGGGAGTATTATTGCTGTGGAGCTCCATTATACAATCAGATACATTACTGGGAGTATTATTGCTGTGGAGCTCCGTTATACACGCAGACACATTACTTGGAGTATTAATGCTGTGGAGCTCTGTTATACACTCAGACACATTACTGGGAGTATTATTGCTGTGGAGCTCCGTTATACACTCAGACACATTACTGGGAGTATTATTGCTGTGAGCCTGTTGCTATACACTCAGACAAGGCCATTGGGAGTATTATTGCTGTGGAGCTCTCAAGTATATACCCAGGACATACAGAGTATTATTGCTCTGGGAGCTCTGTTATACACTCAGACACTCCGATAATATGGAATTCCTAGAAAATAGGGACATTAGGATATAAAATAGGGACTGTTCCCGCAACATAGGGGCACTTGGTAGGTATGGCACACGGCCGTTAATAACTTCTCACATGAGTGAGCCTGAGCAACAATACTGGCAGTCACGTGCTCACTCCCTCCCTCCTCTCTCTTTCCCAGCTTTGTCTCCATAACAACAGTCCATTTAACACCATCCCCCCCACGCCCCTCGCGCCCAATGGCTTCAACGACCTATTGTCTGGGCGCTCCTCGCCTTCTGATTCGCTGCTGAGATTTCTCCACCCACAACGGCGGCCGAGCCTTCCCATTGGGCCCTTCCCCTCCCCACACTCTCGCGACCAGCCTTGGCAACACCCGCCCCCTGTTGCTGCCGCATCTCCTCGTGCAGTCGAACGCCGAGAAGTGAATTGCGTGAGGCCTTGGCCACGCCCACGAAAAGAGTTGGGCGTGGCCTCGTTCGATCGACGTTCTCCGGCGGTTGATTGAGGCTGCCTGTGTGGGTAAAATGGCGGTGGGTCTTATTGAGAGCTGAACAAATCGAGCAGAATGAGAGTAGGGGGAATGCATGGATACAGGGAATTAAATAATATGGCTTTTTGGACTGGGATATAACATAAACAGGGCGGTTATCAATGTATGGAGGTGTAAATAGGTGTATTTCATGTGATGCAGTGTTTTTATGCCCCATTCCCATTCTGTTACATTGTATTTCTATGGGAAAAGTGCTTTATTTTATTATATGTTTATCCTGTTACCCTCTAAAAATAAGGCATGGGTCCTGCAGGGTGCTATTATTATTATTTATTATTATTAATAATATTTTATTTTTAAATTCCTGTGTATTTACTGAAATGTTTCCTAGTAAAATGTGGTTAAACGGTCAGCGTTAAAGAGCGACACATTTTGTACACCGCCATTTAGCGCCCCGCGAGATCATCTTTAAATTCGCAATCGTCCGTAATGCATTTTTATGAAATTTTTAATCATGTGTATAGTCAGCGGTCCCTCTAAGAACTTTTTTTTGGGGGGGTGGGGAGCGGACCATCGTCGAATACGTTAAGAAAGGCATTTCGTTTTTTTTCGCCACACAGTTGAGTTGGGACGAAAAGCAAGATATTTGATACGGCCTGCGACCAGAAAGTACTGTGTTCGTTATACAGTGTGCTTGTTGGGCTGGGACGTTTCAACCCCCCCACCCCCTTCCAGAAAAATGCTTAGAGGGAATGCTCTCACTAGCCAAAACTTGTGTTTTTCTTAATTTGTTAGCGTTTTTTATTGCAGGATAACATTTTATAAGTTCACGTAATATATCTATTACATGATATTCACAAATGTTTGTGCCGTATAATGTTCTCAGTGTACCTTATTTATTTATTTTTAAGGTAAGGTAAGAAGTCGCCCAATTGAAAATTTTGTGTTGGCATTTCCTGGATGACAGTGACTGCCAATGAAAATGGAAGACATGTCTCTGTCTGGCCTGGATAACAGTAAACTGGAGGTAAGAACGCGTTGGGGTGGGTAATATCCAGATTGTTAAGGTTCCTTAAAGTCTGGATTTTCACACATTATTTCCAAATGGCAAAGCTGATGTAAACGTTGTCAATCTGTGACTCAAGCTGAGTTGAAGAATGCTCCATATTCGTTTGTTTTTTTTTTACCTCTGTTGTGCCGTTTGGAATTAATTTGTAAAAAAAAAAAAAAAAATTTGGAGTTTAACAAATAACGAGTAAACAGGTAATCACAAGGTCCCAAATATTACACACTGAAGCAGATTACACACTGAAGCAGTGAATCTTCATAAAAACTCTTATAGCAGACTGTAGGATGTAGAATTCATATCATGCAGGAGTTACACTAATTTGTTCTATTTCGTTGGGATTCCTCTTTGATTTAGCAATAGATTTCCTATCTGCAGCATATCAATGCTATATACTACAATGCAGAATATTGTATTTGCAGCTAATCCTCATATAGTAAAATATGTACAGGAAAACATAGGGGATCAAACAGTGATGAAGTTAGAACTTTTGACTTACCAGTTACATTGTTTTCTGACACCATTATTACCTTTGTACCGGTATGGTAGATGCTCAGACTTTGTGTTTAAGAGATCTCACTCTATCATTCATATCGGCCAACTTTGGATATAAGGATATAGTTTTTGGAGAGGGAATATTGGTCAATTGCTGATGGATGCATTGACAACCAGATCTGAACATAGTTGAGTAAAATGGGTATGTGCCTAACATTTTAAAGCACTCTCACATGCGTGGTGCTCTGTGCAAGTTAATATTCATTCCTGCCTTCTGAACTACTACTTGTGTAACTCCTAATGAGAAATCTAATTGCCTTTCATATCCCCTGCCTAGGCCATCGCTCATGAAATTTACAATGATCTGCTGGAAGATACATGTTTGGGCTTGAGCTTTGAGGTCCATCGTGCAGTTAAATGCGGTTATTTTATGCTTGACGAAACCGATTCTGAAAGTATGAAGGATTTTGGTAAGTATCTATCGTAAACAAAGCAAGATGCCAGCAGTAAGGAGTTAGAACATTAGTAAGTGTTTTTACAAAATAGACTTAGAACGGCAAACACAAAGGAAATATTTTTTCTTTTTATGACCTATTTAAATTAAAGTGAACCGTCCATCCACAAATTGTGGACAGTATACAAATATATGCCACATTTATATATAAATATGTATAATCTATACACTGTGCTGGAGCAAGTGTTCAGATTTAAAAGTTTACCTACCTCAAGATCTCATCCTGGAGATTTCTGTACATACATAGTGGCTGATATCTGTGTAGATCCTCCACAAAATATGGGATGATGCTGGGGATGGGAGCTCTAACCAAAAACATTCAGTGTCCCCTTTACTGAGACTAAAGTCGTGTACATTCAAAACTGGGCACAATTACTGATGGAACTGTGCTAAGGGAGCATTTTGATAATTCTTTGTGTACTGGGTATAAAGTATTTTTTAAAGGAACTACCGCCAACTGTAGTGATTATGGTGCCAGGAGTGTCCTAGCGTCCTCCAACTGTAATTTGTGAAATCGATTTTAGAACAGTTTGACGACTTACGTGGGTCACACTGGTCTCCCACAGCTACATAGCCTGCTGGGGGATTCCTCTTGCAGGAGAATGTAGTTGGCTCCACTAACCTAAGCAGGGCCAAACAGGACCACACTCAGTGTTTGAGAGCATCACCTGAGCGCGTTAAAGACATCCAGCTTCTCCTGCAGGAGATGATCGCAAATTGTGCAGGCACCTGGTGGACTCAGGTAAGTTGTCAAACTGTTTAAAAATGGTTTGACAAGTTACACTGGGAGGGCTCCATGGTAGTCCTGGCACCATAACTACATCAGGCTGTGTGCATTCATGTTTATATAGAAGTATCATTTTATTTATTTTTTTTAGATAAAATAAAGGGTGGTTATACATGATTTCATAATCCACATAAGCAACATGACTTAACGTTTCAAGCATTTGTAAATAAGCAGTTTCTCACAAAAACAAGCACCCTAACAGAATACAACAAATTTTAAAATAAATATTTTGTTTAACCCCTTAAGGACGCATGACGTGTGACATGTCATGATTCCCTTTTATTCCAGAAGTTTCGTCCTTAAGGGGTTAAACGGTAAACCTTTTAGTGTTAACCATTATAATGCATCAACCTAAATTTCAGACCTCGTAAAGTTGTCCTAAAGCTGCCCATGTCCTCTCTAGCTAGCCCTCTACATCTTTGGGTTTAATTTCCGTTCTATGAAACTGCAGAGGCACACCCAAATATATCTCTAAATTCAGGTTTTGTGAGCTGAACACATTATACAGCACTAGAAATTTGTGGAGCTTTATAAATACATTTGAAAATATAATTTCTTTTTCTCATTAATGTACATTATACAAAGTTAACCATGCTCTGCTTGCTGGAGTTTACGTTAACTCTTCCATAGGTAATAATAAATGTAAATAGGAAAAAACATATATAATTTCCAAAGTCACCATTGATATATAAGCTCAATCGCAGCTAGACCCAACCATAGTGTAACTATATAAGCAACATATGTTTAATTATTTTAGCCCTAAAATGTGCAATTCTGTTTTCCGTTTATTCCAATTCTGCATTCAGTTAATAAACTCTTTTGTGTAAGAAGCATCATTTTCTTTAAGTTCGACATATTATTTTACTCTTATTGCTTTTTAAAAAAATAAAATTCTTCTCTCTTTATGTATTTATTTTGCTTTGTGTAATCTGCTTGTCATTCTCTCATTTTGTTTGTGTGTTCTTCCTGCAGAAATAATTGACCAGCCAGGAGTAGATATTTTTGGCCAGGTTTATAACCAGTGGAAGAGCAAAGAGTGTGTATGTCCTAACTGCAACCGCAGTATTGCAGCCTCTCGCTTTGCCCCCCATCTCGAGAAATGCTTGGGAATGGGCAGAAACAGCAGCCGTATTGCCAATCGAAGGTAAGTGACGGTGACGGGCAGACGGCGAAGGCACGGCAGTAGTCATTTTTACATGTTCCCACTTCTGGACCTATTCTTATTCCTCCAAAAACTCTGTGAGGACACGTAAGTGGGAGCTGTCCAGTTTGCTAATATATTGGGGCTCCTCCTACGCTGATCTCTTTGTAAGCAAGTACAGTTTCTGTTGACATGCTTTGATCTCAGGGTCTTCGGTGTTGTATACCACTTTTTATTTTGAGACCAAAATCATCATGTAGTGACCCAACCACTTGAAGGGAATGTTTACTTCCATCAGTACATTGCAAACCATACACCAATCAGCCACAACATTCAAACCACCTGCCTAATATTGTGTAGGTTCATCTCTTGCTGCCGAAACAGCTCTAAACATTTTAACTTTGTCCAACCTCTGTAAGATTCTCCATAACATCCATGAGTGTATGGTGTAAAAGAGTTGAATGATACCCCATGATCTTGAAATTCCATAGAGGCTATTAGTAAATCTCTGTTAAGATCCTGCTTGGGTTTTGGCCATTTTGGGGAAAAATGTGGCTTTTACTTTTTATTACCCTAAAAATACCACTAGTGGGCTAAATCCTCTTATAGTTTGTAGCTGAGCAGTGGTTTTAGACACTGATATTTTATAGATATAAATATAAACTCTCACCATAAGCTCTTTATGTGCAGCCCAACCAAATTCAGCCACTGTTCTTTTATGTCCAAACGATCCCTAATGTTCACACACTCAGACCTTAGTAGTACATTCCACTTTACACCAATCTTCTTAGAAAAGGTACATTTATTTGCAAAAAAAACAAAAGGAAAAAAATATAAAACACGGAAATACATGAAAAAAAATGCATAGAACAGTCCTCATATGCGCCAGTCCAATATGATATGGTATTTGAAGGTTGATAACAACACGCTCTGTGATCCAAGCCTGTCATAATATGCAGTAAATCCCACTGGGAAAAACATGTGTCAAAAGTACAATAGAAGCTAGGTAAAAAGGATAAAAGAACAGCACCTGTAAGATGGGGGAAGAACCACATAGAAATGATCCAAGGAGGGCCCGGGATGTCCTGAACACGTTTCACACCTGGCATGGCGCTTTCTCAACACAACGTTGACGCATATGAGGACTGTTCTAGGCAATTATTTTTGCTTGTATTTCCATGTTTTATCTTTTTTTTTAAACAAATGCATCTTTTCTAAAATAACAAATACAACACCACAGTGTAAATAGTGCAGTGACTTAAGTATAAAATATACTTATCTCAGAATTTCAAACAAACAGCCTCCCAAGATCGCAACCCAGAAAACGACCTTATTACAATATGTATAGAAAAACGGAAGACATGTGGGATACGGCTGTACAACATCTAAAACTAGGAACATAAAACAATATATAGTGTAACACAGATTGGATTGTTTACACCTTAACAGGTACTGCACTTGCACCTATGGGATTTGAGGAGCAACGGCAACACTCATGGATCCACCAATGGACATAGGGATTAGCCCTATAAATAGACTCATAAAGGGGGCTATCAGATTAGATTTGTTATATTTGGTTTTATTGTTGTAATATCACTGCCATTTGGTCCCTGAGGAAGTTCCCCATGTTGGAACGAAACGCGTAGGACATATATTCCTCAATTTTATATGTAAAGCTGATTGTTCACCTTTTTATAATAAAGCTGCTGATACTTTTTTCAACCTACACCTACTGGAGTCTTACTTTACACCTATTCCGTTGGAGTGGGAGATAAAGCCACCCAATAACATCGGGGGAGGCACCCTTGAGCGTATTATACGTCTCAATCTTGTGAGTGTATACAATTGTGGCGCATTATTATCTTCATTTAACTGTTCCTTGTTTTAGAATTTGTACAGCCGTATCCCACGTCTTCCGTTTTTCTATTTAACTTTTCTAAAATGATTGGTGTGCAGTGGAATGGACTACTAAGGTCCGAGTGTACGGACATTATTGATCGTTTGGGGATAAGTGTTTCTATTGGAGTTTTACTAAGTCCAGCACCAAGGATGTGTGTCAAATTGTATCCACATGATATGCATTTAATAACTAGCAAAGATATTGCATGAGATTGTAGCTGCAGCAATTTGCATCGTTTGCCTGTTATTTTATGTCCAAATCTTTCACCAGAATTGCAAGCAGCAACAACATGAACAAGTCCGAGAGTGACCAGGAAGATAACGACGATGTTAATGATAACGATTGGTCTTACGGCTCAGAGAAGAAAGGTTCCTTTAAACCAGCTGCAGGTAAGTATTCTAAAATGTGTTTTAAAAATGAGCTTTGATTCTGGTTTTGAATAATTGTCCATAGCTGACACTCTCTCTTTATATTTTTTTCCCCTCCATTTTCCTCCCTTGTTACGGTTTCTTGCTTGTTTTACCTTTTTGTCCCTTTCTGGGTTTTTTTTCTTCTATTTTCTTTCACTACGTGCTCTCATGTCCGTTCCCCCGCATGCTTCTATTCTCTGCTTCTTGGATTTGAAATCATTTTCTCATCTCTTGTTCTGCATCCTTTTTATTCATCTCATGTATTGTTTACGGACTGTTCCATTACTGTTCTTGCTTCCTGCATTGCTTGATCTTTTGCATGCTCTATATTCTTATTTGTCATACTCCTACCCTTTATAGCAAAGAAGAGAAAATCAGAAAAGGTAAGCACTTTATAGATTTGTAAGGAAAGGCTTATGGCTCTCTGGACCATACATTAGCAGTTCCTAAACTGTAGGTCCCAAAAATGTGTTGGTCTTTTTTCACAGACTGACGCTAGAGAGAAAAACACGTTTCTCACTTCCTCATCTAAGGCAAGTTTCACAAAAAAAGTCTTGTTGGCAGTCCCACTTTCTCTTACGTTCCTAAACAAGCAGAAAGATTGCTTATCCTAGACTGACCCATAAGTTGGCATGATTTTCTACATAACTAACACAAGCCAGAGTCCAGTGTTGTACTGCAGTCATTCATAGTTCACACCATTTTATTAGGTTTATTTGATCATGTATGGATATTCATCTACCACTTTCCCTCCTTTTAAGTATTTTGATCCAAGTTTACATTGACTGTATTTTTGTACTTGTCCCTCTTTTGCGGATATCTCAAGGCAAGTCTTGTATTGAGGGGAATGAAATGGCACTTGTGAATTGTGTGTGAGCTACATTTCAAGTCAATAAGAAGCCATAATCTACTTAATTATCTATGATCATGCTTCTCCATTGCATTTGTTTGTAAAAAGATGTGCTTAGGATTCTGGGAACAGTAGAACAAAGAGTACATTCCGTTCTAGTGTGTCTTTCTTTAATTTAGATGAGCCAAAATGGTGGTGTAATAGTGCTTTGGGTCTTTTCAAAAATCACTCCTATTAGCACTGAAACAATGTGTCTTAGTTACACATTTATTGTAGTTTAAAGACACATTGCTGGGAGTATTATTGCTGTGAAGCTCTGTTATACACTCAGACACGCCAACAATATGGAGCTCATAGAAAAGAGGGACATTAAAATAGAAAAGAGGGATAGAGGGGTTTGGATCCACAATAGGGACTGTCCCTCCTAAATAGGGACACTTGGGAGGTTTGATTTTGGCACTTTACATGTCTGGATATCCCTACTAAATACTCCTGCATCTATGTTCTAGGTCAGAAGTGCCCAAAAGGATTCCCCATGATGCTTTTTTTGGCATCCCTATTCTAGGTATATCCAGCCCAATATATTTGATTTTTTGGATTTAAAATTTCAAGTCATGTGCTGCTAGCCAGGCCTTAAAATTTCCATGGCATACTTTATCAACAGAAGGATATTGATATTTTAGAGAGCGTTCAGAGAAGGGCTACTAAACTGGTTCATGGATTGCAGGATAAAACTTACCAGGAAAAGTTAAAGGATCATAACATGTATAGCTTGGAGGAAAGACGAGACAGGGGGGATACGATAGAAACATTTAAATACATAAAGGGAATCAACACAATAAAGGAGGAGACCATATTTTGAAAAAGGAAACACTACCACAACAAGAGGACATAGTCTTAAATTAGAGGGACAAAGGTTTAAAAATAATATCAGGAAGTATTACTTTACTGAGAGGGTAGTGGATGCATGGAATAGCCTTCCAGCTGAAGTGGTAGAGGTTAACACAGTAAAGGAGTTTAAGCATGCATGGGATAGGTATAAGGCTATCCTAGCTATAAGATAAGGCCAGGGACTAATGAAAGTATTTAGAAAATTGGGCAGACAAGATGGGCCGAATGGTTCTTATCTGCCGTCACATTCTATGTTTCTATACTCTTATTTTGAGCAACATTTTTCCAATATATTTGATTTATTCACATTATGCACTGCAAAACATCACTTGTTCTCTTGAAGCTGCAAGGTGATCAGACTCACAGGAAGGTTTACTCGCTAAATTCTCAAGGTTAGCATCAAGCTTACCGTAACCGAGGTACTAATAGCAGCTGTTTTAGTTTTCCTGGGCTTCAGACGCTCGCACCTATTGAAATTCTGAAATCAGGGCAGAGGGGTGGGGTGTGGGATTTGTGTTTTTTGTATGACATTTAATTATGTGTCCTTTTAAACTTCTATTTCAGAACCCAAATTCTCCACGAAGGTCAAAGTCCTTAAAACACAAAAATGGTGAGTGATGTTTTCAAGTTACTGGGCTTTTTCTCCAAAATAAATATTTCTTCTAAGGAGACTTTTTTGCAGTTAATTTACACAAGAATTTAATATTTTTTTTTTATTATTATTCTGCTTCATGACAAAAGTTTATGTCGCCTTTTTTTTGTTGTTGTTGTTTTTCTATTTTACTCGCCCCATTAACATCTATTAAAGCAGTTGTTGTGTGTGAGGTTGGCAATAGAGGTTCGTTAAAACACACTTGTCTCTGCTGAACGTCAAGAGAAGAATTCGCCTCAACGGGGGTTTCTGTTATGGGGGCCCCCTTCATACTTCGCATATAGATGGTGAATGGGACCAAGCAAATTCATGGTTCCTGGGACCCTTGGTATGTGCTTCATGTCACCTTATGGTTAATTCTGCTCAATGGATGTCTGGGTGATTGGAAGCTCTACATCATCTTCCCATGATTCATTGAGCATATGTGCACATTACTTTTACATGACATGCCAAGATCTGCAAATGCCTTGTTTTGGTTTTCATTATACCTGAATTATTAATTTATCGCTTCCAAATGGACTGTTTAAATACCTGGCCAAATTTGCCTGGTTGGGGGATGTCACCCTGCCACCTTCAAATGATTTTGCACAGCCTCCCAAAAAATTATTATTCATCAACATCACAGAGGGATAAGGCAGTTGCTGACCAGTTTTTGCAGCTCTTCAATCTTAATTGGCGGTTCTAAGCCTTTCGTGCTTCTAAGGTTCTTAAAATGTGTTTACCATTAAGTTGGACAAAAGTAAAATCAATTAATTGCCTGTCAATTTTGATTAAATCAAAGCACCTTTAGTTACCTTTCATAGGGTTTTCTCCCAAGCTAATGATTCTAAATGGAAATGTTTTCTCTCCCCTAGGAGATCTCTCTACCAATTCAGACCCATCGAAGGTAAGGGGCTCTGTGCTTTTTCCATATTCGATTTTCCCTTCTGTTATTGCAAAGCTTGACTGCTTAATTAATACTGTTAATATGAGAACAGAAGTGTTACACATTAAAATAATGTAAGGAAACTTCATTCGGAATAACCGAGGATTGCAGCAAGGGTTGGGCCCAGATATCAGCTGTAAATATATACATTTACGTTCATTATAATTCATGGAGATTGTCTGCATTTGGCCCAGTACCTAAGTCCTTTTAATTAATGCAACGTTATGCTTAAGAGTCACTTACTTGAATTGTTGAGAATTTTACATTTAAAGCATTAATAGCAGTACTGGAAAAATTGCTACTCTGGCCCTAAATTTGAAATGTATTTTGAATTCGCAACAGTTCTCTTCTTTAGTGAAAAGTAAAATACAGATTAATGAAGAGCGCACACACAAAAATGCAGTCGTAAATTTTACAAGCTCCTCAGCTGTGAAATGCATGTTTCTGGTTTGTCCCAAAACCCCTCCCCCCAACCCCCCTCTTTTTTTTTTTTTGTGAAAAGTAAAGTTGTTCTCAATAATTATATTAATTTTAACAGTAATGATGGAGCACATTAAAATCTGGGTAAATTAGACAGAATTGATATTGGCAACTTTGAGATCAGGCGAATTGAACTGACAGGGACTAATGAGGAGGAGGTCAGGAGGAGACTGACTTGACCCTCAAATTGCCAAGGAATAACTTCACAGACACCGTTTCAGGCCATCGTGTCATAGCTGGACCTACTGGGGATCGTATTTAGCTATGAATGCTTCTTAACTTGTACGGCTGTGTGGAAGCTTGTGGCAGCCAATTTTATACTTTAATCTGATCTACAGTAGTTACATAAAGGAAAGGTTTATTCACTAAAGTGTGGATTGTCAGGATTTTTGGGGGAAGTTTCACTTTTAGACTAGCACAGACGCCCAGCAAAGATCGCTGGCATAGAAAATCTCTCCAATTCGACTGTTGTGGCCTAAGATTTAAAATCATTTTCTGAAAAATCAAACTTCTGTAAAACCCTGGGGGAATTTTGTATTGCAACAATGTGTGATAGGACATGTTCCTACATTCACCTTATACCTAGTTTGATCAGGGAGCGGAACATACTGCTGCCAAAACTATTTTTACAGTGTCAGGAGATCAGCAATGAACAGTAATCTGCAACCAAAGGGAAGTAGCACCCTACCCTAAGGCAAACAGGGACAAAGGGAACATATTGGTTACAAGCTCCTGTAATGTAATATGAAGTTTATTAAACAGCTATAACTGAGCTGCAGATGCTGGTGGTGTAGCTATAAAATGTAGGGGGGAGGAGAAAGCAGGTAACAAAAAATTGTTATTGCAAACATTGGCCTGCACATACGGTAATTAGATCCAGTGTATGTTGTATGGAGACAAAACCCTCTTGTTATATGTAGCAAGAATTCTAGAAGTCTATGCGTTATTTAGTACATCTCTGCAGACCTCCAGTGCAACCCTGTGCCAGGTGAATGCCTTGGTTATTTACTGAAGGGAGAATTGTCAAGAATTCAAGGAGAATTTCACATTTAAGACTGCAGTAGTCTGACTTGGAGGATTTTTCCACTTCAGTTATTTTGGCCTTAAAGTGACATTATAGTCACCAAAACAACTTTAGCTTAATAAAGCATTTTTGGTGTATAGATCATGCCTGTGAAGTTTCACTGCCATTTAGGAGTTAAATCATTTTTGTCAATGTAGCCCTTGCCACACCTGTCCTGGCCGTGACTGACACACAGCCTGCATGAAAAGAAAATGGTTTCGTTTTCAATCAGATGTAACTTTCTTTAAAGGTTTTTATTTCCTGCTCTATGAATTGAACTTTAATCAGTCACAGAATACTCCTGTAGCGCCTAGCAAGCTACTAACAGAGCAGGAGATAATAAATTCTAAATTAAACAGAATTTGCAATAAAGGAAGTGTAAGCATTACATTACTCTTTACAGGAAGTGTTTAGGAGGGCTTTGTCAGTCACATGCAGGGAGGTGTGCCTAGGTCTGCATAAACAAAGTCATTTAACTCCTAAATGGCAGAGAATTGAGCAGTGAGCCTGCATGGGCATGGTCTATACACAAAAACTACATCATTAAGCTAAAGTTGTTTTGGTGACTATAGTTTTAATTTAAATTTGAATTCCAGACAATTTTCACTTTTGAATGTATAACCCTGTGGATACTCTGTGGTATTCTAGTACTCTAGAATTAAGAAACCTTGATTTTATTTTATTTATTTCTTCTTCATTTTGCAGTACAATAACATTTCAGGAATTAGTTATGAGAATCTTGGGCCTGAAGAGCTTCATGCACTTCTAACTACGGTAAGGAAAGGCCTATATGTAATCAGATCTTTTGTCAAACCAGTTTAGCAGAGATCTTCAACTACTAAGCAAAATGTGTCCAAAGGTGTTTATAAGAAAAATCTCCTCCTAATCATCAGATAAATCATTTTATTACAATTTCATAAATATATCAAAACATAATTAAAATGTGCTCTACACATACATATTCGCACTTGAACAAGGCATTTAAAATGAAACAATACGTAGTTTTCAAAACAATTTTCCCAAGTTCCTAAACTTCTACCTGTTCTGCGATTTGTGCAGATAAGTTGATCTACCCTACATCAGCACTAACCGCTGCGGGCCCGTGTATAATCTAATGTTTCTCATAGAGAAGTATTGTGGATATTTGTGAGCCCATTTGGATTCACCATTGTGGACATTGCGGATATACAGTGCACGTTTAACTGTCCCCATGATCAGTCAGAGCTTCTCTGTAAGGGGCATTAACCATATTCAGCATCATCATCCTTCGAAAATTGAAGGATCTGAAGGAAGGAAGCAAGCATCTCAAGTCGCTATCTGTCTGACAGGTAATCGAGGCTTGTTCTCCGGTAAATATCAGTTACAAACTGTTTGAAAATGTTTTGATACTTCCCCACACCACTCAGTCAGGTATATATCAAACCATTTGAAATAGTCTCAGGGACTTCTGGTACCATAAGTATTACTGAACATTGTTGTTTATGTTGTATCTACAGTGTCCTGTTAAGGGTAGGCAAGTTTATGTTTGTTTGTTTTTTTTTGTCTCAATGACCATCATCTCCATTTAGGACCATCATTTGGTTTACTGTAGAGTGAAATCGTTGATGGAGATAGATACATGCAGAATGTCCAGTATAGGGCAGGAGTCATGTTATGAATCCTTCTTTACCTATCTCTGCTAAATCGTAACATTTTTTTAATGTGTTTATTTATATTACTCTATTTGTTTAATCTATCCATCCATCCATATTCCTGGCTCTGATTACTAAAATTAAGAGTTGGCTAATAAGTCTGGCTTCTAAAGACCAGACATATTTTGAGTCTAACTATCAAGTTTGTGATGAAGTCCATCAAAATGTTAATATATTAAATTCCGGCAGAATGTTTTCTTTGGTTTGAGAGATTTGTGTTTGATTAAATTCCCCAACAAGTGGGGCAATGTGTCGCTGTGTTTTTGTCTCCATTTACAACCACTTTTCTATCTCCCCCACCTCTCCCAGCAATGTGGTGTCATATCGGAGCATACCAAGAAGATGTGCACCAGGTAGGTGCTTCTCCATGTTGCGTATTTCACCTTTCGTATGTGGCGAGCTACTAATCTAGAGCAGCAATGACATATCATTGATTATGTATGGACTAATGTGTCTTGGGAATTATCTTCTGCAAGTTTTTGGACTACAGGTCGAGGAGACCCTATGTAACCATCTGCAATTTCTTTATAGCCTCCGTGTATTGAATTTGGTCTAGATGGGCAGTCATACAGAAGATACATCTGTTCTTGTTTTAATCTCTTAACTTTTCGCCACCGTTTTGATTGTTTTTAAAATTTTATTCATTATTTTGCAGGTCACTTCGATGTCCCCAGCACACAGATGATCAACGCAGATCGGTCCGAATTTACCTCCTTGGTTCCTCTGCGTGAGTGTTTGTATATGATTTCGAACCTATAAAAGATGGCAGACAGGATGATCTACCTTGCTCCTTCCGAGATTATATAGAGCTGTGTTTCTTCCAATTTGCACCTCTTGGATCCCTTTTATGGGACTTCCAGAGGGAAGAAACATTCAGTGGGGCCAACCTGCTGAACCACATCGAATAGGAGTCACCATAATGATAAAATATATCCACTTGGGGGAAAAAAATCCGTTATATTACACACTTTCACAGGTTTTCTACTCGAAAAATAAAATAGATGAGTTTTAGCTGCTCATGTCTTAAAGATGCATCTCTACCAGTCTTGTACCTACAGGTCTATACTGGTCAGAGCATTGTCCTTACACACCCATTCTAAGGTCTGTCCAATGATTCACTGCTGACCTATTCTTCCTTGACAGCTCTCTCCCAGAGGCTGACGGCAGTACTGATAATGATTTTGATGTGGTGGAGGGTCAAACTCTGATGAGCCGATTGCAGTGGGATGGATCCTCTGATATTTCCCCTTCGGACTCTGCGTCCTCCAAAGCCAGTAAGAGACTCCATGGGGCAATTGGTGGGCCATTGTGACCTATTCACCTCTTCAGAGCAATTACTTCAAATCTGCTGTGTAGAAAGATCAGAATGTTTAGAAACACAATTCATGTTGCTGCAATGTCTGTTACAATGTTTTAAATTACACTAACACTATTCTCTGCTTTTCTTCCCTCTTAAACTGTCATCCCATATATTCTTGTTTTTATGTGCTTTTTGTCTGTACCCTTCTGCATCTATCGACGTAACTGGCCTTTTTTTTGTTTCCCTTTTTTTTTCTGAATAATGCTACTTGCCCTCTGTCAATTCTTTTCTTTTATCATTTCTGTATTTTTTTTTTTATCTCCTCTCTGCCCCATCCCCTTTTACCTGCTTTACGTGGATCATGTATTCTCTTTTTACATTTGTCCTGCTGCCTTTCTTTTCTTCCATCCATTATTCCTCCTCTTCTTGTCTTCTCCTTTCTGTGTGTGTACTTTTCTATCAATCTCCCCCCCACCTCTGCTCTTCCTTGTGCACTCCACCTCCTTTCTCTAGGTACAAATAACTCTGACACAAGGAAGCCCAAGAAGAAGAAACCAAGTCACCTGGCCGTGGCAAGTACGGGAGGCAGCAGCAAAAAGAAAAAGCCTAAACCACCTGCTCCCCTGACCCCTGGGATGTACAGTGAACTCAACTGAAAAGGGCCCAGGGGTATAAAACAACATTTAAAAAACTACAGAACTTTCTGCATCCGTATACAAAACGGACTGTTACCTCTCAGTATATTTAACCCTCGGGCAGCAAAGCTGCAAGTGGACTGCCCTCCGTGTGTAATAAAGGACGATCAAAATAATGCACTTTAGACTATGAGGGTTGTTCTTCTGTTGAAAGTTGAATTCTGGAACCTCGCTATTTCCCAATTTGTAAGACTGTCGCATATTGTGATGTCATTTGTGGCTCTTGGGACCATTTAGCGACCACAGGGGATGTGGGGGAAAAAAGTTACAACGGCAAAAGTGTCTCTTCGTCAGGGAATCCTCTCCAGTGTTAGGTGGAATTCTGCTGCTGGGTCGCATAGTTGCAATGTATTTTCCTTTCACCTGGGGCCAATCTGTGAATTTTTAGTAGGAACTTCAGTGAAATAAATATGCTTTGATTATGCTATTCTTGTGGCGGGGGACTTGCTGAAACTTTGTTTCTGTCTGGAGCCAGGGAGCAGTGTGGCGCTTCTTCACATGAGAGTTAAAAGTGTTTGCATGTTTAAAAAAAAATCACACTAAGTATTTCATCAGAAGAAAATGTAATGAATCATGTTTTCAGTGGGTTAAAGGGTCAATTCCATTGGGACGTAGGCACATGGGCTACCAACTAGGCTTTACCTGCTTTGGCCATAGATGAAAATTAATAACACAACGGGCAATGTCTTAAGAAGCCACCGTCAGACATTGCAGCTTTAATTAAAGTGCCAATACAGTTTAGTTTACTTTACTTTTATTTGTTACGGAAGTATTTTAAAATGCACTTTGAAATTTGATAAAAGAAAATGCCAGGATTCTTTTCAGATACCTGAGCTTGTCTAGCTTATATGAAAGTTTAAAATATCTCCCTCTAAGTTATAGTGAATCAATATACGCCACACTGTATGAGCATGAAGTAATTGTTGATTCCAGTCTGCTTTTGGTTTTAGTCGGCCTTTCAGACAGTTTTCCATTTATTGTAATTGAAAAGGAACGATACACATTCTTGCTGGTATCATGATCGTCATGGTTGTTCCTTCCCCTTGGGTCTAAAAAATTTTTTTTAACCACGGCAGTTTTATTCAAAATATATTTTCATCCTTTTTAGAGATCTAAATCGCTTGGTTAAAAAAAAAAGTCCTTTAACCCCTTAAGGACCAAACTTCTGGAATAAAATGGAATCCTGACATGTCGCATGTCGTGTCCTTAAGGGGTTAAGCACTTCCAGGAATTTCTGACATCTCCCAGCATGCTTAAGAAGCAATGGGGAGTCTAGTGTACTTCAAACCTGTCCTCAGGCCCCCTTACCTGCTCAAAATTAAATTTCATTCCTTGCTATGCATGAGCTGAGCAATGGGACACCCTGTGTACCGATAGTGACTGCTTCAAATTCTGTGAAGTTTGGTGGGGACTTTAAAGGAAAGGTTTGAAAAATGTACGTCTACCCCGTTATAGCTCAGATCAGTTCACAGAGAACACAGAGAGGCCCAGTATTTCAGATTTACTTGAGTTTATTTCCTACGCGGGTTGCAATAGAAGCTATAGATTTTTGCAGGGACAGTGGTTGCTTAAAAGCTTCTTCTGATTGGCTGTGCATTCCTTAGTGTATCAGTCCCATGGTAGAATGGATTGACCTAATGACTGTGATACATTTTATGAACAGTGGGCCCCTTGGAGCAAAGTTAGCTGTTTAATCACACTAGGATATAAAATGACCTGATTGCTACCTCCATTAAACTCCATCATTAATTATCTTTGCTCTGGTGGGCTGGGCACTGTTGTCTTTTGACAATACTTGTTTTGCAAGTAAATGTACAAATTCTCCTAATCGACTTGTCGGGTATGATGTATAGAAAAATATCCACTCACGTTTTTTTGTGTTTTTTTTTTTGTTTGTTTTGTTTTTTTCTCGAGCTGTAGTAAAATAGAATGTTTCATATACCTCTGTAATATATATATATGTGTGTGTGTGTGTATAATAAAATTGTACGGCATTAATGGGTACTTTGTTTGCTTTTCACTTGTTCTCAGACGGCAGTGATCTACTGTGAGTGCATTTTGGATGCTAAATGAAATGGTATATTGGTAGAGGAAAGTCTCAGTGACTGAGAAGTTTTGCGATCTGGCTGAGTTTGACCAAATATTTCAGCTAAGATGATTTGCGTTTGTAGACCCTGAACGTAAGTCCTACATAGCCAGGAAGTCCCTATAGTAGCTGTCTTAGTGACAGCCACTAGATGCGTTACTAGGCAACAATGTAAACACTTGCTTAGACTGTGGAGATAGGCTACAGACACCATAAGAACAACATTATTAGTGGTTGTGGTGACTAATGTCACTTTAAGTGCACAAGTAGCTGTAGGAAACTATGGTAATTGTCCACCAGTGATGGATCTGTCAAAATTTTGATTAGACTTTATTGACTAGACCAGCATACTAATACTAGCCATTATAGTAGCTAATTAGTTTTACTCTAGACATGATGTGCAATGTTTGTTTTCCTAAAAATGCTTTGGGAAGATTGCTGTATAACACAGGACCTGCATAGTAATGTACAATATTATTTTCTAATGTGCGAATTGGGAAGTCGAAGTGAATTAAAATGTTTGGCTGAAATAGCGGAATTCGACAAATCCTTCAATTCCATTATGTCTTCAGTACTGATATTTTGGGCCAAAATTTGAAATTCACTTTAATATCCCAAGATTACACACTTTAGTAAGAAACCCAGTTAGCGTCTAAAGCAAGTGTGTGTCGCAAAGGCGTGGTTTTTTTTTTTTTAAATCTACCCAAAATGCCAGAGGCGGTTCTAGTGTTTGGGCTTGTTTTGTGCCCTGTGATATCTTATCCCTTTACATTTTGAACAGGAGGACTCCTAGTAGCATTTGCATTTAATAAGCCAGTATTCTAATCCTTTCTGGAGATTTCAACTTGCCTTGCTTGAAATAAAGTAGCTGGCTCTGATGAGATCCCATTTGAAGTGCAGCATGTAAAAATATTTTTTTTAAAATAAAATAAAAAAATGATCGATGTTATGCACAAAGCTTGCTATTCAATTTTCCCTTTGCTGTATTGTTAAAATAACTTTCAAAGTGTCTCAGAGGAATTGCTATGGCAAGGAATTGGAAAATGGTAAACGCAAACTGGTGGTACCAGTGGAGGCAGACGGAAGCATCGTAGACCATGGAATATATCAATTTCTAGCCGCAATAATCTGCCTGTTTGTATTAAAGTTTAATTGCTGATCTTACTGAATGTTATCTACCCCTTTAATAAATGGCTTCCATTTGGTTTAAACAGCCAAATTGTAACACAGTACATGTTTATTGATCCGCACCCAAAGGGAATCCCCATGTTGAGAAAGCACCCGGAGTGGTGCGAAACGAGTCTGGGCTTCTCTATTCTATCTTTAGGGTCAGCATCTTTGGTGGTCTCCCCCTTGTACAGCAGCTGCGGGTGGTCCTATGTTCAGGTTTTGGACTTTTTATATTTAGTTCACTCTCAACCCTTTTTTTTTTTTTCCTCTTCCTTTTTCACCAATACAGCATACATGAGGACTGCTGTTTTAGTATCTTGCTATATGTATTTTCTTTTTTGACTTCAATACATGTGCATTTTTTTCCCTATGATTTCTTCCTGATGTATTTTTGGGGATTCCCTAGGATTGCGGATCAACAAACTTGTCCTGTGTGAAGTATCATTTGATTACAGGGAGGATCCCAGCACCGAGAAGGTAACCCTGTTATTGCACCTATTGAACTGCTATAAGTACGATAAAAATGAGTATATCCATGCTTATTTACTTTTAGAGTTGCGGCTACATGTTTTTTGTGAGAGAGATTTTCTTTACTTTTCTGCCTTTTTACGATTAGCCAAACTGTAACATATAAACGTAGTCTGTCGTTTAGTGAATAGACCGTAATTTGCCTACGTGCAATGTATTTTTCATGTCAGTATCTGTAAATGGCAAAATTCTTAATTACAAAAAATTTTTTTATTTATGGTTAAAATAATACCGCAAAAATTAGATGCCAAATTTAGCACCCAAACAGAGCCAAGGTAAGAAGTCAAGCTGGTCTAAAACTGTTTCACAACTTACAAGTGGGAGGCACCAGCCATTGCTATTTTAAGATTTCTGAGGTTTGGTTACGGTGCTTGGAGTGATCCATTGAGAATATGTAAAGTCACAAAGCATGCATCACCATTTAATATAATATCAATAGTTCATCCTATGCAGAAAAAAAGATAATTCTTTGTGAATTGCTGAAAAGACTCTTCCAAAAACAAATATTAATATTGCATGATGCTAAATTTATACTTAAAACACCATAACAACTACAGTGCACTGTAATTGATTTATTACCTGGAGTAGCCCTGGTGTCCCACAGTAGGGTGTTCAGTTTGTGAATGCCTTGACACTTTCCAAGCTTTGTTGAGCACCTGTGATCCTTCCAGTCGGCACTAATATACTCATACTTCATATTAGCAGCTCAACTTAACCAGTGTAGCGGTACTTACACTCTGCGGGGGCCGGACGAGGTCCTCTGTCCCTGCCGCGCGTTGTCCTGCATCTGCACAAGCCGCACACGGATCGTCCGACGTGGCCACGTGACTCGCCTGGCTCTGGGAGCGCACCGCGCGTATCGGGCATGCTTTTAAAGGGACAGTGGGAGCCGAAATGCAAAACGGTCTCCCATTGGCCCATGTCATTCTACATTCCCCATACACTCACGTTTTGGGGGCGTGGATATGACAGGGGCCAATCAAATTAAACTCTAAGGTATTTATACTCTCCTTTCCCTTAGCTCCCTGCCCTATCGTGGTTTCTGATTCAGTTCCCTTTAGTGCTTGTTTCGTCCAGTAGTGTTTTTTTCGTGCTTGACCTTGGCTTTGTACCTGACTCCGTTTTTCTCTTTATCCTTGCTTTGTCTTGTTTGCCGGTTTCCTAACTCCTGTGTACCAGTCCTTGGCTAGTTCTTGTTTTCGCTGTCTCTCTGTTCCCTTGACCTCGGCTCGTTCCTGACTCTGTCATTTCCCTGTACTACGTCGAATCCGGCCATTCTAAGGCCCGGTAAGACGTATCTTTTTTTATCTTGTCTCTCGTTGGACTAAATCTTGCGTGTTGGGGTACACTACTGTGACATTACGATAGGGCCATGGACCCCACAGGTTTAGGACAGCAGATGGCTACTCATGAGGCTAGATTTGTAGAGCAGGATCACCGTATGGATCAGATGGCTCAGGCCATCCAGACACTTTTATCCAGAACAGCTCCAGTACCTGTACCAGCTCCTCCTGCACCCCCTGTTAATGAGAATTAAGCAAGGATCTAAATCTGTTGCTGATTATGCTATTCAGTTCCATACCCTTGCTTCACAGGTAGATTGGACCAACAATGGGCTGACTACTGCTCTCATGGAAGGTCTGTTTGAAACTATATTGGATGAGGTAGTGGCTAGGGATCTTCCTGTACCCTTAGAAGATCTTACCGACTATCTCATCGATATAGATGATAGGATTTGTGACAGGCTATATACCAAGACTAGGAACAGACGCCTTGTTAATACACCTAGAGCTGAAACTCCTGTGGGTTGCCAAGTATCAGAGGAGGAACCCATGCGGTTAGGGATTGCTAAACTCACTGATGCTGAGAAACTGTATAGGAGAAAAGACAGACTTTGCCTTTATTGTGGTAGGAAGGGCCATATGAGACAAGAATGTCCTGTGCGTCCGGAAAACTATCGCACCTAAGACCATATAGGGGACCGGCCTTGGGTGTGACATCAGAGTCCCCACATTTGCCTCTTAATAGATTGCTTCCCTGCATCTTGAGAAAAACAGCATAGCAGGGAATATACTAGCCCTGGTTGATTCCGGTGCGGCCGAGAACTTTATAGATTCCGGCTTTGTTAAAGAACACAACATACCCACTAGAGAGAAGAAGACACCCTTGGCCGTTGAGGCCATAGATGGCAGACCATTATGCTCCCCAGTTATTACACTTGAAACTGAACCGTTGCATATGTCTACAGGGTTGTTACACTCAGAAACCATTCGGTTTCAGATGATCACGTCTCCTTCCTCTCACCTTGTGTTAGGGTACCCACGGTTGCGTTCTCATAATCCCACTATTGACTGGGAGTCAGGACAAATAGTATCTTGGAGTGATGCGTGCCAAGAGTCTTGTATTGTTAAAATCACCCCTTTGAATTCTATTAACGTTCCTACTACTACTCACAGACCCTACGACTGTGCCACCTCACAGACCCTACGACTGTGCTATTAATCTGCTAGCTGGCGCTATGCTTCCCAAAGGGAGAGTGTATCCTTTGTCTCAAAACCTTGTTATGGAGGAATATATCAAAGAATCTTTACAAAAGGGATTTATAAGGAGATCCTCTCCTCCGGCAGGTTCTGGTTTCTTCTTCGTATGGAAGAAGGAAGGTGATTTAAGACCCTGTATCGACTATAGGGGCCTAAATAAAATCACCATTAAAAATGCTTACCCTATACCTTTAATCATGGAATTATTTGACAGGCTGAAACAAGCTACTGTGTTTACTAAACTGGACCTTAGGGGAGCATACAATCTCATACATATCAAAAAGGACCATGAATGGAAGACTGCATTCAATACTAGGAATGGTCATTACGAATACACTGTGATGCCCTTTGGTCTTTGTAACGCCCCAGCAGAGTTTCAAGAGTTTATTAATGATGTCTTACGAGAGTACATACACACATTTGTAATCGTATACTTGGACGACATAGTAATATATTCATCCGATTTGCATACTCATCACATGCATGTTAAATTAGTTTTGAAAGCCCTTCTTGTTAATGGTCTATATTGTAAACTCGAAAAATGTTTGTTTGATCAATCCGAAGTCCAGTTCTTGGGTTATCGTGGGTCGCCGCCATGACCTCCATCTTGTCTTTGTGATGCTGGAATCTTATGATGAGATCTCGGGGTGTCATGGTTGGTGCCTTAGCTGGTTTCAGAGC